AGGCCTCAGACCCCGAGCAGGCACGGCCGCAGGTGAACCCCCTTGCCCGGCCGCACCCCAAACCCACACCACCAGCACAGACCAAGCTGAGCAGGAAACAAAATGGAGGCAGCAGCTCGGGTCTGCCTTCCCCGAGCCAAGCCCGTGCAGCCCCAGGGCTCCCTCCTGCCGCAGGCCCGACGCCCGCAAGGCAGGGGGCTGGCTAGTCCTGGGCGCCGCGAGCAGCCGCGGTAGAGCTACGCAGACAGGCCGCGGACTCGGCCCTGCGGGCCCCACAGCCCCTCACCCACCACCCCTTCCCTTCCCCCTCCCCCCATTCCTCTCCCTCCCCCCTGCCCAGCCTTGAGGGGTGAGCGGCGACCGGGAGCCGGGTCGGGTCGGGTTACCCGCCTGGGCACTGCTCGCCCAGCCGTGGCCTCGGCTGGGAGTTGCGGCCGGGAGACCCCCGCGCTGAGCCCACCCCCCGCACCCAGCTCGGACTGCAGCCTGACAGCGCGCCCGCACCTCGAGGTGCGGCCCCCGCCCAGTGAGGTCGAGTCCCCAGCTCGAGCCCCGTCTGGACGAAGCTTCTCCCGCCACCCCCGGGCCCAGGGGTCCTCGCTGCCCCGGGCGGGGCAGGGGGAGCGCTGGGGGAGGGGTCCACTAATCCCTGCACCGCCTCCTGCGCCTAGCCTGGGTCTGGGCCTGGCACCGGGACTCGGGCCGCGGGCGCGGCCGGGCATGGTCGGTGCGTGCGCGCGGGACAGGGAATGCGGACCCGGGCCCCGGAGGGGCCGCACCTCACACCGCAGACGCTGCAGTTCTCAGCACCCAGGCAGATGGCCCTCTCGTGCCACCAGAGCCCGGCGCAGGCCGTCTGCTCCGCAGCCCGGCTCCCCGAGGAGAGCGCGCCTCGCCCTTGAAGGCCGGGCACCGGGACCCCGGTGGAACTGCGCTGGGAGGGCGGATCGCCGGGCTGGCTCGGCCAAGTCCGCTGGCCTAATCCCCGGCCCCGGGGCGCTCTGCTCTCCCGCGCCCGGGACCTCAAGGCCTGCACCCAGCGCCCGCGGCCCCGCAGCACCAGCCTAGCGGGGCCAAGGTGCGTTCAGTCCTCCAAGAAAGCCCAAGGGCAGGTCAGGGAACCCAAGCCTAGGTTGACCTCGCAACTCCAGCTCCCCAGGCCCTTCCACCAACCCGGTCAAACCCCCTGGGCTTGCTCCTCAGCGAAAACCTCACCTCGGGAGCTAACTGGTACCTGGAGTGTGCTAAGTGCATCCTCACTGTTCGGAGAGAGCCAAAATCAACAGCCATTAAATAGATAGATGATAGATAGATGATAGATAGATAGATAGATGATAGATAGATAAAGAGAGAGAGAGAGAGAGATGATAGAATAAGAAAAGAAATCCCACCTCCTCCAGAAAGCCTTCAGTGATTAGAGTGAACTCCATCTAAAAAACTAAGAGCACCGCCCTCGAGATCCACGTGACTACCATTCCTCCCAGGGCTTAGTAAATGTACATAATCATTTTCTGTGGAGCTGTTACCCACATCCCTTCTATCTGTTAACCGTGAGACCACCTGGGAGAAAGGCCACTTCTGACGTGGTCCCACACGCGCCATCCGCGTAGAGCTCCCTTCATCTTTCCCCGCCTTCACCGGGACCGGGCTTGGTGCTCAGGGCGCCCCAGCCTCCTGCTCCCCAAAGCCCTCCATACAGCGGTAAAAGCACTCACTAAGTGCTGGGGCCGGGTCCCTGCAGAGACAACAAGCAGGCTTTCTCAGAAGGAAGGGGCCCCCTGGAACCAGAATGAGGAGAGCCCTCCTTCTATGGAAAAGAATGATGTCCCCTGAAGGTTCTTAGGTACAAAGTCAGGCTGGCAGTGTCCCTAGTGCTGGGACCAGCCAGAAGAGGGCTGGGTCTGCACTCTGGGTCCCAGCCCTCAGGGACCATCAGCCCTTTGTTCTGCTAAGGAATTACCCCAGCTAGCCCCTTCTGGACAGTCCCATGGGGACGCTCTGACTGGTTTCCTTCTTCACACCTAATAATTCTAGTCAATCATTTCTGACTGACAATGACCCCCTGCTAATTGCCCCAGTCTCCAGAGTCCTCCCAACCCTGTCCTTTCTCGTGTATCGTCCTGAGGACCTGGGAGCTGCCACGGTGCGGCCTTGAGCCAGTCTTGTTTTTTAGACCCAAACCTCAGTTTCCTCCCCTGTGCTCCGTTGAGCAACCATTTCCTGCATCCCAGGCAGCATGCTAGGTGCTGGGGAAATAAAGGATGAGATGCCTGCCCCAGGAAGGCCCAGGCCTCAGAAAAAGTCAAATAAAGGTGTGAGGGGGGGCTGGGCAGTGGTCCCAGAGCTAACCTCCGGACACCACTGACCTATGGAAATTCGTCATTCCAACCTTCCAGGCCCCGTGGTGGGAGGCTGGGGCTACAAAAAGACAGGGAGCTGGGCATGGACCGGTCACTGATGGATCTAGGGCAGAAGACTGGAACCCAGAGAAAAACTCTTAAACTTCTTTGGGTGGCCTCAGCAGGCCCTTCCTGCCTCTCAAAGCAGAACCCGGCTGCCTGCCTAGGTCTCAGCCACAGCAGACCCCGCTGGGCCTCCCCGTCCAGCAGGCCCTGGCCAGCCACCTCCCATGTGCCAGGACTGGGTCGAGGGGACCCACAGGGCCACAGGCTCTTGAGAGAACACTGGCTCCCAGAGCAGTTGAAGAAGGGACAGGGCTCTCTGTCTTGCCACCTTCATCTCACCTCCGGAAATTTTTCTGGGACTCCTCTGTCTAGAGACAGATTAGAATCAGTAAATACCTCAGAGGGTGAGTCTGGGCTGTGTACTGGACACCACACTGGGCACTGGACTTGCGTTACTTCCTTTAACCCCTGAGTGACTGTGCGAAGAACTGAGGTCCAAAAGAGCAAGCTCTTGTGCGAGATCTCAGAGTGCTAATCATCCTCTGGCATTCCTGGCCTAACATTTTTTGCTCTTCACCAGCATACCTTCTGACACAGGGTCTTACCCGCAGGTGCTGAGGAGTTGGGGTGTCAGGCAAAGTGAGATTACCTTAGCTCAATCACCTCATCTTTAAATTGTGGTTACTGGGAATTCCTACCCTGCTGACAGACACCTCTCCACACATTTGGTCAGTCACTGCAACCTCTGTTTTCTTAGAACTGCCCCCCTTTCATTAATTAATTCACTAGATACTTACCGGGCTCCCCCTTACAGCCTCGTGGGGAAGACAGATAAGGAATAACCAGGTAGAAAGCTGAGCAATGAGAGAGAAGCCAGCAGTGCTAGGGACCCCAGGAGGCTTCCAAGAAGTGGCATCGGGGCAAGGGGCCCTGAATCGTATACACAAATAGCCTGAAAAGGAGAGGACAACGTAGTTTCCAGCAGGAGAGTCCAGAGAATGACCAGGCTTTGGAGGAACTGACCACCATTCAGTGTGGCCAGGAGTCGGGGGTGGGGTGGGCATGAGGGCCAGTAAGAGGCCTGAGGAAGGACAGGAAAGGCCACAGGAGCCCAGCCTGTCTGTGCAGGACCTCATCAGCCAAGTTACAGAATGCAGGCTTTATCTGGAGGGCAGCAGGGAGCCACAAGAAGTTAAGGAGCAAGTTCAGGCTTGCATCTGTGCAGCGGAAATCTCACTCCACTCCAGCAGGGGCCAGGAGAGGCTGTTCCCACGCCTTGGAAACAACCCTGGCCAGGCCCGGCCTCAAGATGTGACGGGGTGGTCTTGCTCCAGTAACAGCTGAGGCTGCTTGTCCTCTGTGCCGGCTACTCTGCAGGACATCTCCTGGCTGAACCCCAAGACGGGCATTGTTTCTGTCCCTATTTTCCTGCAAGGAAGCATCACTTACTCAGAGCCAAACTCCCAACCCAACACGTGCCCACTGCGAGTTCTTTGTCCCCACAGGACAGGAGCGGCATCTGCTTTCTGACTAGACAGCCAGGTTTTAGGAGAGTCGTGGAGGCCTTTCTTTGGTAATCCACCCCAAATGCTGGTGAACACCATAGCCATCTCTTCTGATGAGTCCAAGAACTGTTTCCTTCCCTCCCCCGACCCCCCCCCCCATCCCAAGGGCTTCCCCAGAACAGCATCAGGCTTCCACTTAAGATCAAGGAAGGCTTGGCCACATCTGAAGCCATAAGGCCCTCCAGCAAAGTTCATTTCCTGCCCCAGATACCTTGTTTCTGTCTGCTAACCTGACCGTGCAGCCCCAGCCCCAAGGCCTCAAGTTTCCTTTCAAGTGTTTTTTTTTTCATCTCACGCACCCTCCTTTGAAAGCCCTGAGTGTGGTGTCCACTGCCTGTCTGCCCTTGTCCCCTCCTCATCTTCTTGGCTGCCTAGCACACTCCCTGTGCCAGGCAGGCTGCCTTTCGCCCAGCCCGTGCTCATGCTGGTGGTCCCCCTGCTTCTTCCCATAACTGCCTTGCAAACTTCTACTCATCCTTCAGGGCCCAGGTGAGATGGCTTCTCCTCCTGGGAGTTTTCCCTGTCCCCAGCCCTGCAGACAGTCATTGTTGCCTGAGCAAGAACTACTGGCTTCCAAAATCTGGTCCCAGCCAGTTGGTGAGCCCCTGACAAGACTCAGGACACAGGCTTCTCTGACCTCCAGTGACGAAGCCCAGGACCTTTTAGCTCAGAGTAAGTGCCAGTGAAACATTTTCTGGTACCTGACCTATTCCCTCCCCTCTCTCCCACAGACAGAAAATTTATGGTTCAAATTAAATGAGTTATGCAGAACTGAAACCCTCCATAAAAGGATTCTGGGGTGTTTGGGAAACATACAGGCCTCTGTGCCAGGCAGCACTTTCAGAAAACTTAAGAGACCCAGCCTCTGCGATCTTGGAGTCAGATAGATGCGGTTCGAATGGCAGCCAGGCCATTTTCACCAGGCGAGTTTCTACTCCTCCCCTCAGCCTCACAAATGGGGAGATCGTGCAGATTACCATGTGAATGGGGGCGGGGCTTCGTGCCTCGCCTTTCACTGAGCGGCTGCCCACTGGGCTCCTGGGCCCGGCAGACCGCCATCTGCTCCTCCGCCCCCAACCTGGTCCTTCTCTGGTGCCTTATTTTGTCCGATGCACTCTCAGCCCCCAGCCAAGCACTCTCATCCAGAGAAATGAGCTGATTCCCAAGGGAGGGGGAGGAGGAAGTGGGAGAGCGCTGGGCTCCCGCGAGATCCCTCTGGGAGGGGGGCAGGTCTGCAGTCTGCGGCCTGGAGCCCGGCTACACCTTCCGCTTGCGCGTGGGTTATCGCTCTGCACTCATCCATTCATTGTCTCCCTGGAAGGAGGACAGTACCCGATTGTACAGGTGGAAACAGAGGCTGAGAAGAAAGAGGTTTGTGAAAGGTTCACTTCCGGTAAGTGGTGCGGGCGCACAGAGGTCGTGCCCAGCGCTCATTACGAGGAGGTCAAGTCAGATACAGGCAGTAACGAATCTCTGCAGCGAGGGCTGCATGGAGGGGACGGTCTTCCAGTTTTTTTTTATCAAGTTCCTGTTTTTGAGAATTTCTTGGTTGTATGTATATAACCCACTCCCACTTGAAAGTTGGCATCTAATTTTGTTTTTTGAAGTCCTGTATTACAAATAACAGAATTTTTTGTACACTGCATGTGCACTTTAAATAAATGTTAATCAAAACCTACAGGGCTGTAGATTCGGCTTTATGAATTTATAGGAAATGTCGCCCACGTGCCTAAAATGGCAAAGGCAGGCCCCATCATCAAATCCCTCAGCCAAATGACTGTCAGAAAAGATCTGTCTCCACTTCTCAATGACAACCAGCCTGTTCCTGTGTGTCCCCATGACAACCATCTCCCTGCTGGGTTCTAATTCTGGGACAGACTGACAAGGCCAGACCCTTGTCCTGTGGTGAGGTATGTCCTTGGGAAGTTCTCCCAGCACCCTCTCTCCTGAGAGTGAATCACCATGGAGATTCATTAGGTGACATGTGGCTTTACTCTTATAAGTGGGAAACTGCCTGAAAGGAGACCAAAAGAGAGGGGGCGCTTTCTCACTCAGACCAAGGATTTTATATGAAAGTTAAAGGTCTGCCCTGGCTGGTGTGGCTCAGTGGATCGAGTGCTGGCCTGCAAACCAAAGGGTTGCAAGTTCCATTACCAGTTGGGGAGCATGCTGGGGTTGTGGGCCAGGTCCCCAGTGGGGGGCACTCAAGAGGCAACCACACATTGATGTTTCTCTCCCTTCCCCTCTCACTAAAAATAAATAAATAAAATATTTTTTTTATTTGTTTATCTTTGGAGGGGAAGGGAAGGAGAGAGGGAGAGAAACATCAATGTATGATTGCCTTTTGTGCGTCCCCTGCTGGGAACTGGCCTGCAGGGAACCTGCCTGCAACCCAGGTATGTGCCCTGAGTGGGAATCGAACCTCGATTGTTTGGTTCAAAGGCCCGCGCTCAATCCACTGAGCTACACCAGCCAGGGCAAAATATTTTTTTTTAAGAAAGAAAGTTAAAGGTCTGTGAACTCCAAGTGTGTCCTCAGATTATTCTCTCAGAATAATCTGAGAAAATCTTTATGCCCTCCAGGTGAAGACTTTAGGCGGAAAACCACGATTGGACTGGAAAGCATGTGGCTGTGTAGAACAGGAGGCAACACTGGTCAGTGAGGGTCGAGGGAGGGAGGGCTTCCTCTGAGGCTGGAGAGACTCTGTCTCCAGTAAACTTCAGGGCCTGGGTTCGCTATTCCCTCTGCCTGGCAAGCTCCCTTCCCGGCTCTCCCTGGGACTCTCTGTCAGCCTGCTGGAATGCAAGCAGAGGCAAGCCCACGGGCTCCTCCCTCACCTCTGGGAGCCCCCTGGGACCTCAGTTCCGACTCTTACATCTTCCTGTTGAGTGGCTTACACACTTACCATTCTCTGAAGTTCCTTGATACTTTTCTACTTATTCTTTATTTTCTTTTTATTTAGACGGAACCCACATACCATAAAAATCAAACAACCTTTTATTTTTTAAATATTTTACTATTTTCTTTTTTATTTTATTTTATTTATTTATCTTTAGAGGGGAAGGGAAGGAGAGAGGAGAGAAACATCAATGTATGGTTGCCTTTTGTGCGTCTCCTGCTGGGAACTGGCCTGCAGGGAACCGGCCTGCAACCGAGGCATGTGCCCTGACTGGGAATCCAACTGCTATTGTCTGGTTCACAGGCCCATGCTCAATCCACTGAGCTACACCAGCCAGGGGCAGGTGTAGAGACAGGGGCAGGGAGGAAAAAAGAGAGGGAGAGAAACATATGAGAGAGAAACATCGATCGGTTGCATCTTGTACGTGCCCCACCTGGGGACTGGGCCAGCAACCCAGGTATGTGCTCTGACTGGAGAATGGAACCGGTGAGCTTCCGCTTTGCGGGATGATGCCCAACCCATTGAGCCACACTGGCCAGGGCTCCAGTGATTTCAAATATACTCACAAGGTTGTGTGGCCATCATCCCTGTCTAGTTCCAGAGCACTTCCATCACCCCAACTCTGTGCCCATCTGTAGTCAGTCCCCATTCTCCCCCTCCCCACAGGCCCTGCAAACCACGAAGCTGCTCTGTTTCTACGAGGGTGCCTATTTTGGACGTGTCACATAAATGGCATCATATATCATGTGGTCTTTTATGTCTGGCTTCTTTTTTAAAAAATATATTTTATTGATTATGCCATTACAGTTGTTCTATTTCCCCCCCTTCATTCCCCTCCACCCTGCACACCCCTCCCCCACCATTTCCCCCTTTAGTTTATGACCACGTGTTTCAAGTTCTTTAGATTCTATATTTCCCCTACTATTCTTGCCCTCCCCCCTATCTATTTTCTACCTACCGTCTATGCTACTTATTTCCTTCTTTCCCTTTCTCCTTCTCCCACTCCCCTGTTGCTAACCCTCTATGTGATCATTTCTATGGTTCTGCTCCTGATCTAGCTGTCCTCTTAGTTTGCTTTTGTTTTAGGTGTGGTTCTAAAAATATGGAACACTTCACAAATTTGCTTGTCATCCTTGCGCAGGGGCCATGCTAATCTCTGTATCGTTCCAATTTTAGTATATGTGCTGCCGAAGCGAGCACTATGTCTGGCTTTTTTCACCAAGCATAACGTTTTTCAGGTTAGCTCATGTTGTAACATATATTACTACTGCATTCCTTTACATGGCTGAATAGCGTTCCATTCTGTGGACTGGCCACACTGTGTATCAGTTGATGTCCATCAGTTCATAGACATTTGCACTGCTTCCATTTTGGCGCTATTGTGGGTGAGGCTATGAACAGACATTCGTGTACAAACTTTCATGAGGAAACATTTCATTTCTCTTGGACATATTAGAGTGGAATTGCTGGGTTATGTGTGAACTTTTAAAAATTTATTGATTTTTTAAGATTATATTTACTTATTTTTAGGAAAGGAGAAAGACTGGGAAAGAAACATCAATGTGTGGTTGCCCTTGAGTGCCCCCTACTGGGGACCTGGCCTGAAACCCAGGTATATGCTCTGACTGGGAATTGAACCAGCGACCCCTCTGGTTCCCAGGTGGTCACTCAATTCCCTGAGCTACACCAGCCAGGGCTATTTATTGATTTTAGAGAGAGAGAGGAAGGATTGATTTGTTTTTCCACTTATTCATGCATTCATTGGTTGCTTCTTGTATGTAGCCTGACTGGGGATTGAACGTGCAACCCTCGTGCATCTGGGACGATGGTCCAGCCAACTGAGCAACCTGGCCAGGGCATATGTGAACTTTTTGAGGAGTGTTACCAAAGTGACTGCAGCATTTTATATTCCTACCAGCAATGTCTGAGGGTTTTAATGTCTTCACATTTTCACCAACACATTATTTGACTTTTTGAGTATAGTCATCCTAGTGGGTGTGAAACAGTATTTTGTTATGGGTTTAATTTGCATTTCCCTAGTAATAATGATGTTGAACACATTTTCTTATATTTATTGGACATTTGTATATCTTCTTTGGAGAAATGTCAATTCAGATTTGTTGCCCATTTTACAAATTGAACAATTTGTCTTTTGTTGTTGAGTTATAAGTGTTCTTTATGTATTCTGGATATAAGTCCTTTAACAGATATAAGATTTACAAATATTTGCCCTGGCCAGTGTGGCTCAGTGGATTGAGTGCCAGCCTATGAACCAAAAGGTCACCAGTTTGAATCCCAGTCAGGGCACATACCTGGGATGTGGGGCTGGGTTCCCAGTTGGGGGCGTGTGAGAAGTAATCAATGGATATATCTCTCACACCTTGATGTTTCTTTCCCTCTCCTTCTCCCTCCCTTTCCCTCTCTCTAAAAGTAAATAAATAAAATATATTTAAAAAATTATTTACGCCCTGGCTGGTGTAGCTCAGTGGATTGAGCTCGGGCCTGCGAATAAGAGTATCGCGGTTCTATTCCCAGTCAGGGCACATGCCTGGGTTGCAGGCCAGTTCCCAGCAGGGGACTCACGAGAGGCAACCATACATTGATGTTTCTCTCCCACTCTTTCTCCTTCCCTTCCCTTCTCCCTAAAATAAATAAATAAAATATTTAAAAAAATAAAAATAAAAAAAATTATTTACAAATATTTTCTCTCATTTTGTGGGTTGGGTTGTCTTCTCACTTTTTTCTTAAAGATTTTATTTGTTTATTTATTTATTTATTTATTTATTTATTTATTTATTTATTTATTTATTTATTTATAGGGGAAGGGAAGGACAAAGAGAGGGAGAGAAACATTGATGCGTGAGAATTACATTGACTGGTTGCCTCTTGTGCACCCCCAACTGCAGACCTGTCTGGAAACCCAGGCATGTGCCCTGACCAGGAGTCAAACTGATAACCTTTCAGTTCACAAGCGTGTGCTCAGTCCAGTTAGCCACACCAGCCAAGGCCACTTTCTTCATGGTATTCCTTGAAATTCAAAAGTCTTAATTTTGATCAAGTCCAATTTATCTGTTTTTTCTTTTGTTGTTGTGCTTTTGGTAATATCTAAGAAACCATTGCTTAATCCCAGGTCATGAAAATTCACCGCTATATTTTTTCCTAAGAGTTTCCATAGTTTAAGCTCTTACATTTAGGACTTTGATTCATTTCGACTTAATTTACAGTGCGAGTTAGGGGTCCAACTTCATTCTTTTGCATGTGGATACCCAGTAGTCCCAGGACCATTGGTTTGAAAAGGTTGTCTTTCCCCGTTGAATGGTCTTGACATTCTTGTCAAAAAATCAGTTAACCATAGAGTTACGCTTTATTTTTAATTTTTATTTATTGATATTAGAGAGAAAGAGGAAAGGAGGGGAGAGAGAGAGACAGAGAATGATCAGTTTATTGATTTATGTATTCATTGGTTGATTCTTTTTTTTTTAAGGTTTTATTTATTTATCTCCAGACAGAGGAGAGGGAAAGAAGAAAGAGAGGGAGAGAAACATCAACGTGTGGTTGTCTCTCGCACGCCCTCCACTGGGGACCTGGCCTGTGACTTAGGCATGTGCCCTGGCTGGGAACTGAATTGGTAACCATTCGGTTTGCAGACCTGTGCTCAATCCACTGAGCCACACCAGCCAGGGCTCATTAGTTGATTCTTGTATGTGTCCTGACCGGGGATTGAACTCACAACCTTGGCATATATCGGGAGGACACCCTAACCAACTGAGTTGCCTAGCCAGGGCTGGATTTGTTTTATAATTTTTAATTTATTCCAGCGATTGTCAATCCTTTTCATCTCAAGGCACAGATAAACTAATTACTAGAATTCCGTGGCACACCCAAAAATATATTTTTGCCAATATGACAAAAATAGGTATCACTTTGTCTTTTTTATTGTATTTGTTTCATTACCATATAGTGCTCTTATGCCTCCGTCGCCCCAACAATCAGCACACTGCTGTCTATGTCCGTGAGTCCTTTTCTCTTTCTGCTCCATCCCTCCCCCCTCCCCCGCTCCCACTAGCCGTCATCCTGCTCTCCATCTATGAGTCTGTCCCCATTTCCATCATTAGTTCAGTTGTTTATTAGGTTCCACGTAGGAGTGAAATCATGGGGAACTTGTCTTTTTCTGACTTAGCACAATGTTCTCTAGGTTCATTTATACAGTGGCAAAGAGTAACATTTTCTTCTTTTTTACAAAGAAGTGGTATTCCATTGTGTTTAGGTATAAGTTTGGTTCATTCACACTGGACACTATTGCTGTGTCATTTTTCCACTGGACGATCCGAGGGAAAAGGGGTCAGTGCCCCTGACCGCACAGGCAGGTGCTGTGTGTGTTAAGAGTTCCCGCTGCGCGCTGGCTGGAAATCACTGCTTTAGTCCTTTGGTCAGCAGGCCTGTCTTTGGGCCTGATTTTGTGTGTCTCCACCCCCACCTTTCTCACTATCTAGACTGGAAGCTCACTGCTGTGTTTCCAATGCCTGGAACAAGGCCTGGTGCTGAGTAGATGCTCGATAAATACTTGTGGATTGAGTGAATAAATTCTTGAATGAGTACAGTGCTGTTGGGGAGGAAGCCAGTTGAAAGGGGAGGGTTGAAGGTACAGAACCTAGAGGTTACTGAGGTCAAGTATGTGTGACTGGGGTCATGGGGCCATGGGCCAGAGGAGAGGAGCAAAGGAGAAATCCTTCATCCTCTGAGACAGTGTAGGCCTCAGCTCTGTTTTAGGCAGGAAGGGAAGGAAATTGACAGAGGTCCCACCCAGGGCCTCTGTTTCCTTACAGAGGTAGGAACTGAAAGAGAAGGGAGGGGCAGCAGGCTCAAGGAAGCCAAGGACAACTGAGTGACCACAGGGCACCAGTCCAGGGTTCAGCCTAACTGGTGGGCACCTTCCGCTCATGACTGGATCCCCTCTAGGGTTCTGTGGGGCCAAGGCTAGCCAATGAAGGGTCAAGGGGTCAAGTGCTAGAGAAGGTACATGTACACGATGGCCAGGGAGCCCGGGCTGTCAGCGCAGGGCCCCGGACCACAGGCAACACTCCCGAGCCCTCAGTGCCAGCCACCCTGGACACAAAAAGTGTAATGTGTAGTGCCGAGGAGAGGTCAGTCAGGGCCACCTCCCACGGGTGACTTCTCAGTGCTGGAATGACCCTGTGGCAGCTCACCTGGCCAACACAGCTGGCCTGGGGGAGTAAGGGTAAGCTATGAGGCCAGTTTGGGGGCAGAAACAAAGCCCAGCTAAATAAACACACAGACCCGCCCCCCTCAGTGAGCTTGGCTAGTATCTGAACTTGATGTTTACACATTTTTGTCTGCAGATTGGTAATATTCTTAAGCCTTCAGAAGGTCCTGAAGGATACCCCTAAAAGACATAAAGGAGATATAAAAAAGGGGAAGAGTAGTTGAAGTAGTTGAATGCAGCTAAAAGAGGGAGAGGAAGATGTTGCGAAGTGGTTCGAGTTGGAAGCAGACTATCAGGGGCTCGAGGCACAGGGCTCAGTCCTGCTGGCAGGGCAGATGCACGGACGCGGCCCTGCAACTATGTGGGGGCTGAGATGGAAGCACAGAGAACCGGTAGGGCCCTGCGCCCATGAGGGAAGACGAAGCTATGACTTGGACCACCAGGGAAGTGCCAGAGAAATAGGGATAAAGAGTGGGCTACGAAGGGTTTCAGAAGGTAGAATGGACAGGCCCTGGAGACTGGGTGGGAGCATGAGTGAGTACAAGGGGTCAAGGTGGGCTCCAGATTTCCAACTCAGGTGAGGGAGCCAGTGGGAGGGAGGCTTCAGCCAATGGGATGGGGAGACCTCGGAGTGGGAGTGGGGACTTATTTTTGTAAGATTTTATCATGACACGTTTTAAACATACAGAAAAAGAAAAAAGAAAAATGTAACCAATACCACTGAGATTCAATATATGTTAACACTTTGGCATATTTGTTTAAGAGACTTTTTTTTTCTAAACCATTTCAAAGTGAATTATGGACACTGTGATACTTCCCATCTAAACACTTAGCAAACTTCCCCCAAACACGAGGGCAATCTCTTACATAATCACAATACCACCCAGTAATACTACTACTCTAGTATTTAATGCTCATTCCATATTCCAATTTCCCCAAAATGTCTTCAGTATTTCTTTCCTCTGAATGATGATCTCGTCAAGGGTCATACATGGCATTGGTCTTTGTAGCTCTTCGATGTCATTAGAAGGTTCCCACCTCATGTCTTCAATGGCTTTTGACTTTCAAAGTGACCGAGCCAGGAAGAAGCCCCCATGTTCTGCCATTGGCTGATGGCTTCCTCATGGTGATGTTTAACCTGTTCTTCTGCCCCCGCCCACATTTCCTGTAAACTGGACATGAAGTCAGAGTCTTTTGGGTTAACACTTTTGGCAAGAATGCTCTGAAGTAAGGCAAATGCTGGTGTGCTGGCATGTTGGGTTTGGAGAATCTGAAGGCCATCAGGGCCAATGTCATGTTAGCCGTTGAACTTACGTGGAGGAAGAATCAGGTGAGAATGCCTCCAGAGTCATTACAGAGATGGGCCTCCAGCCAGGAATCTGTGGAGGAGAACCCCCAGGGCATTTCCAGAGGAGTCCCTGGTAAGACGGGACCAGTAAGATCACCACTTGAGGCCCTGCCACGCCCCACCCCCCAAAATCCTGGGTCTTTGCTCAGAGTCAGTTGATGTGTCCAGAGTTGATAATAAGCCCCCCAGTGAGACTTGTGGTGACCTTGAATGATAGGGAATCCCCCAAATTGAAACTGGAAGTGCAGGGCTAGGATAGCCAATGGGAGGATGGAAGTGATTTCAGAAAACCTAATGAGGCCTATTAATGAGCCTAAGGAAAGGGTGAAACCAGAAAGGAAGAGGTGGAGGTAGGGTGGGGCTCGAAGAGGTGGCACCTCCAGCTCTACCCAGGGAGCCCTGGTGCAGTCGGGAGACCTAGGGCTATGTTGGGCCCTGGATCTCTAGGCTGGGCCGGGACTGAAGCTAAACCATAGAAGAAGAGAGTGGCCCCTGTTGCCTTCAGCATCCTGAGCTCGTGGCAAGGAGGGGTCAGAAACACCCTCAGAACATCCAGTCACACGCTTCCCTTGTGCTGACACCAGCTCCTCACTGTGGATTAGGACACCTTGCAAGACGAGGTCCTGTCTGCAAGTCCAGGCTCATCATCTACCCTGTGCCCCTCCCTCTCTGCCCTTCAGCCTCACCAGCTGCTTTAGGTTTCTAGAAGCAGAAGCACTTGCCCTGTTATTGTTCCTCCTTTTCAGAGTTCTGTGTAACAACTGCCTCTGCTGCCGAGAGGCAAGCACACTGTGAAACACTTGTGAAGCGATCTGCGCAGACTCTCACCGAGACCAAGAGGCCTGGTTTGAACCCCCAGCCCTGACACTGACAGCTGTGTGACCTTAGGCAAGTCACAAAAACTCTCTGTGCTTATGTGTCCTCTCTATAAAGTAGGGTTGTTCAGAGTTAGTGTTACCAAACTCCAGGGATTCACCGCTTAGGGCATTCTATTCAAGAATGAGACATGGTTGTTTGTTAGGCAGTTTCATTTACTTGAAGAGAGTAAAGGACATGGGATTTGCATTCAAAGCTCTGTCTCCCAGAAGGGTGGCTTAGCCATCGCTTCAATACACTGGTTAATGACATGTTGATTTCTTCTTTGCAGCTGGCTGCACTTATCAGATTGGTTCCCTCAAGCTCCTCTGGTTACAGCTGTTTCTGTAAAATACATTTTAACATTCAGCAAGGACAGTGTTTAGTAAGAACCACCCAGACCTCGAGACCCCTGTCCTACCTAATGTTAATAGGAGCTTTAGCCCCGGCCAGGTGGCTAGATTGGTTGGAGCATTGTCCTGATACGCCAAGGTTGCAGGTTCAGTCCCAATTAGGGCACATATAAGAATCAACCACCCTGGCTGGTGTAGCTCAGTGGATTGAGCGCGGGCCTGCAAACCAGGCAATTGCGGTTCGATTCCCAGTCAGGGCACATGCCTGGGTTGCAGGCTGATTCCCTGCAGGCCAGTTCCCAGCAGGGGATGCACGAAAGGCAACCACACATTGATGTTTCTCTCCCTCTCTCCGTCCCTTCCCCTCTAAAGATAAATAAATAAAATCTTAAAAAAAAAAAGAATCAACCAATCAATGCACAAATAAGTGGAACGACAAATTGATGTTTCTCTCTCACTCCCTAAAAACAATAAATTAAAATTACACTTATGAGCATTAAAAAGTGCCTGGCACCTGGTAAATCCTGTCATCTTTCTGGTCATGATCATTGTTCTTGCAAGTCTTCAGGGAGTTCAAGACCTGTCCGAGTTCACAGACTGGGTACATGACAGCCTTCTAAGGTGTTTCTCCAGTACACCCCTGCAGCATCACACTTGTGGATCATAGCACAGAAATTCACCTAACTGCAGAGGTTTTCTGTGCTGTAAATCCCATGATTTTTTAATATACTCTGTCCTACTACTGTTTCTGTAGGGTAATATGACCCTTATCAGACCAAGTAAAGTGACTGTGTCTTTGGAAGACTAAAAAGGCACACGGGCAGATCCCTGTTGACAAGCAGTTTACAACCTAGTAAGAGAACAGGAAGGAAAAGTAGCATTAATACCAGGCCCTGCGTGATGGTTGTGGGCTCCTAAAGGGTAGGAAATTCAACCACCATAAAAAAATACAACCCGTTTTTTTTTTGGGGGGGGGGGGGGGGGGGAACTCGACCATGTACAAAAGCACCTGGTAGGTACTTAGCAGTCTCATTTTACAGAGCAGGAACCTAAGTCTCAACGATATTAAACACCTGTCGTTGGTCACTTGATGAGTGAGTGACTTGAACTTGGTTCTGCCTTCCGCCAAATCACCATTTTGAGCCCGATGTAACAAAAGGGACTGGGATGGTCACACCAGAGATGAACTGCACTAACTGGCTGGGAGAAGAGGGGGATTTGGCAAAAGGGTACAGGGTGGTGGCCAGTAGGGTCTGTGGAACCAGGCAGGGTCCCAGGACCAGGGCCCAGTTGTCCGCACGTGGCCCCGCGGCCGCCCCTAAGCAGCTCCGGCTTCCGCTGCCGAGCTCTCCCTGCGTTCCTGGGAGAGCGCCTCTGATTGGCCGGCTCCGTCAGGTGGCCCCTGCAGGCCAATCAGCAGCGGTCAGGCCTTGGGCTGCGGGCGCGGAGCTGCGGGCTTGGGGCGGGAGGGAAAAGATGATTTGTGTGCGTTGAGCCCAGCGGAGGAAAGGCAGCCAATACCTAGTGATGTCCGGCGGGCCCCAGATCCAGCTAGCGACCCCACTGACCCTTAAGGTCTATTTATCGGATTTCGCCTCCAGCCCTGCCCCACGGCTCAGAGAGAAGAGAGGGAAAAGGCCTGGGCTGGACACCCTTGTGGACTTTGGGTCTCGCCCTAATGCCACCGCGCCTTTTGTGCATCTTTTCCCTCTCGCTCGGCTGGAGCTCCAATCCTTCTGTCTTCTTGCTCCAGGCCAGCAGTCCACAAACGATGTGGCCGCTCTCTCCTTTTAAGAGAAAACTCTCAGGCTAGACCAGTGTGACCCAGTCGGTTGGGCGTCGCCCACGGTCAGGGCACAGGCCTGGGGTTTTGGGTTCTGTCCCCAGGGGGGCCTGGTGGAGAAACCGATGGATGTTTCTCTTCCTTTCTTCCTCCCTTCCCCGCTTTCTAAAAGTAAATAAATACAATTTAGAAAGAGAAAAGAAAGGAAATTTACCTGAAAAAGAGAAATCTCAATGCCCCTCCTCCAGCCAGGCTCTGCCCTTCTCTCTCCTTTACATCCTTTGGGCGTCCTTCCTCGCCCTACCCATTCGGCTTCACTCACAGTGCAAAAGCTGCATAAATGAGCTAAACTTAAGAGGGGAAAAAAGCCAAAGTGAAAGTCTTCTTGTCCTGTCTAATATTCCACACGCAGGGCAGACTATTTGCCAGCTCGGCACAGGCAGCACTGCCGACTGCTGGAGGCAGGAGAGAGAACTGTGAACTGCAGTCCCAGGGCAGGCAGCCAAACTGGGAGATAGCACAGGTCAAGGTTCGAGTCTCGGTTGGGTGATCTTCAGGGCAGTATTGGACTTCTCTGAGTCCTCGTTTCCACCTGGAAGTTGGAAATATAAACAGACTCTATCTCCAGGAGTTGATGCAAGGATTCTCCTCCCTACGGCTCTTGGAGGGACCGAGAAGGCTGTTTTGGCTGAAATACTTAAGAGGAGAAAGAGGACTTTTGTGGTGCACTGTCGCCACCGTGTGACTAGCTGGGGAATTACATACGGATGGTTCTCGGGCCTTGAGAGGGCTACCTGGACTCGCACTCTCTGAAGACTGGGAATGTGCAGCCCGTGCCCACTTCGCTTCTGCTCTCTAGGCTCGTTCGGGCATTCAAGACCAGTGCTGGCACGTGTGGAGGAGAAAGTATCCCATCCCTGAGTTTAGGGCAGTTGTATCTTCTCTAATTCCAGAAGTTTCGGTTTTGCTGGTCCTTCAGCGTCACCCAGTCACAGCCGGAACTTGGAGTGACTTAGCCCTGACCCGCCCCGAGAGGCAGTTTCCGGCTTCTCCTCCCTTCCCAGCCCTCCTGGATCTCCTTTTGTCCTACCCCTGACTCTGGAGCCGGAAGCACACGTCCCCAGTGAGCACGAAAGTTCCTGGGACAGTAGTCACATGAAGGGCAACCATTTATTGAGCGCCTGCTGTGTGTCTGGTACTGCACTGGGCTCCTTGTGGGCATTTATTCTGTACACTCTGCACAAACCCCAGAGAGCATATGATCGATCCCATTCTGTAGAAGAGGACACTGAGGCAGTGAAAGGTAACTCGACCCATCTGAAGTCCCATGGCCATCAAGTGACAGAACCCTGCCTGTAACCACAAGACCACCTAGTATGGTGGATAAGGCAGACAAGGGTTCACATCCCATCTCTGCCATTAACTACTGACTTCAAAGCTTTGAACCCAAGTGTTCTGCCCTCTCTAAAATGAAGTGGCAGCTCCCACTGGCCTGAGTGCTGTCTCGGAGGGGGAGGCAGCGTTTGGGGACTAACACCAGGGGATGGAGAAGCATGAAGGGTGTTGCAGCCAGAGCTGGCATAGAGCACGCTGGAGGAAGCTGGGGTCCCCACAGGGAGGCTAAAGCACTAGCTCAGGAACCAGCCAGCAAGAGTAGGGCTCGAGGGTCCAAGCCCCCATCACCTATTACCTATGTAACCCTTGCCTGTCCTTCCGAAGCCCACCCCATCCTCTTCAGTGCCTTTCTCACTTGGCAGCCCCGAACGGGCCTTTCCTAACACACATCTAATCATGTCCTTTGCTGCAGGAAACTTTGTTGCTTGCTGGGGACTCGACCCTCCTGAGAGCCGTGTGGGTCTGTTGCTGAAGTCCTGACAGTTCCCTCAACCTCTCTGGTCCCCAGTCCCCTCCCCTCTCCTTGGAGGTATCTCAGGCCTTTGCTCACATTGTTCTCGTGGCCGGAAACTCTCCTCTCTCCCTGCTTCGCCTAGTTAATGCCAAGGTGCTGGGAGGTCTCCTCGTGGAAGGTGGGCGGTTTGAGACCCATAGAGGAGTAGGAATTGGGGAAACCAGTAGGGAGTGGGAGACTGTTCCAGGAACGATCTGGGAAGAGCGAAAGGAGTGTCCCAGTGGGAAGGCGAGGGTAGGGGGTAGGGGTGAAGGGCGGGACTGAAGCTAACGAGAAGGAGGCGTGTCTAAGGCTAGGGCCAATCCTTGTGAACTGGGAGGGTCTTGAGCAGGGGTCATTACGGTAGTTTTGCCCATCATCTATTCCGCTGGGTAGGGTGCAGGAGGCCTTATCAGCATCACTGAACAGCCCTCCAGGATTGGCTCGACCACCACCAGCAGCCGAAGGCATGTCTTCACAGGATCCCCACCTAAAACCTCTACGGTACAGCCCAAGGTGCCCCACCCCCACCTCACACAGGGCTGAAGTGGGATGCTCCACTCCTTGTGGCTGCCACAAGGTGGCACCATCACCCCAGCGTGTCCTCTCCCCTTTGATCTCGGTGCTCGAGACCCAGTCCCGGGAAGAGGCGGGAGAGGAAAGAAGAGTAGGGTGTGACAGAAAGAGGAGGAGGCCAAGGGACAGGACTGGGGTGGTTTGAATGCTAGGTATGAGGATGGGGGAGTTAGGGTGTGCTGGTTCCTTGTGTTGTTTTTTGCTGCAAAAAGCTTTGCAGTTTCTGTTGGCTGCAATGCGTGGGAGAGAGCTCCAGGTGGTTAAAGGGATGCCTAATGCCTAGTGGCTTCTGGGAGAGACTCAGGCAAGAGCCAGGTACCAGGGAAATGCAGAGGGGCTCCTCAAAGGTTTCTGGGCTCCAAAGGCTCCTAGTCATGCTTGAGAGCGAGCTTTTCGAAGAGACACTCGCCCAGCCCAGCCTGGGGGCTGCCAGCCTGCTGGCGTTAGTTAGGCGGTCTCTCATCTTCTCGATGAGTTCCACCCATTCATCAAGGACGTGGTTCTCCAGGAAGTCACAGAGGAGGGCCCCTGTGGGTGGAACCCGAGGCACGCAGATCCAAAAGGTCCTGGTGCCGGTTCTTCTCCAAGGCCAGGGCGGCTTCCACGGCGTCCTGAGTTTTACCCCACTAGTCTTGGGAAGGCTTCAGCCGCATCCTGGAAGAGGGTGCAGCCACTGCGCTGGTTTTGCAGCTTTAAGAGACCTTCGGTGCCATCTCATTTCTTCTAGGCCGGCTCTCAGAAGAGGTGGCCCTTGCCCTGCAGAGCCACATTGTCATGCCCAGAGAGAGAGGTCGGTGTAGGAGGCCTGCAGATGCAGGGTGGTCAGGTGGGTGGTGGGGCCTCCACCTCAGTGAGTAATTCTGAGGAGTTTGGGAGTGCATGAGTTCGGCAATGAGGAGCTAAGGTCAAGACATGGCTGCTCTCGGAGGCTGGGGGTGGCTGAGGAGGTTCTGAAGGCGGTGACTGGAGGAGAGGTTGGTGGCGGGTCGAGGCTGGAAGAAGGGCCACTCCTGGATCTGTTCCGTCCACTGTTGAAGCAAGAGACAGACCCCTGGACTGCTGAGGGTACTCCTGGCTGTGTTTTTTCAGCGTTAAGCCGAACACATCTGTCTGACTTAAATTTTTGCCACTATCTGCCCTGCCTACCCCCACAGACCATCCCTCTCGTCCCTGAAACGCTCCTGTGGACTCCCCTGGTCACCCAAGTCTTGGCTCTCTCACTTGCAAGCTCTTGACCACTTTCCCTTCCATCTCACCACTGTCACTGCAAGTGCCACCCCAGTCTCCAGCTCTGTATCTGACCTGACACTGCAGCGGTGCCCCTGCCTGTCTCTGCTCATCTGTACCAGCAGCCTCTGCTCTCTGGTCTCACTGCTCCCCCAGGGATGAAGCTCTACAGCATGCAAGGCTCGCTGCACTGTGGTCTCATCTGGTGCCACGGTCTCTCTTATGCTGTGTGTGCGGTGTCCATAAAGCCAGGTGAGAGTCCCCAGATTCTCCCCACTCCTGCGTGCCTCCAGACACTTGCACAGTCTGTTCCCTCTGCCTGGAATGCTTTTCCTCCCACTCATCACAAGGCCAAGTGCTCCCGCCTTCAGCTCATGTATCACTGCTTCATGGAATTTTCCCCGAGCCAGAGCAGGCTCATCCCCACTGCAGGCACTCACAGCTGCAGCCACGTGAACCTTCAGGACCTGTGTTTGAGGCTAGTCAGTGCTTCCCCGGGCATTTGATGTCTCTGTGCCCCTCGAGATTCTAGACTCCTCAGGGCAGCACCTGTCTCCATCACAGGGTAGGTCAGTGACTATATGGCACTGGCCGGCAGCAGGTGCTCCATAAACGTCTGTTGACTTGCTACGCTCTGGCTCCCAACACACACACACACACACACACACACACACACACACACACACCTGGTTCTCTCTACTGAGCTCTCCATTCTTCCTTGTCATGGGTACCCCCGGCACCCTGGGCACCCTTCCCGGAAGCACTGCAGGCCCCTCCCCTGGGCTCCTGCTGCCTCTGGACCTCCTTCCTGTGTCTGCTTTTCAATTCCCTTTGGTCCTCGCTCCCCAATCCTGTCACCCTGGCCCCCAGGTGGTCTTGCAGGTGGTCTCGCACTTGTCCTATGAGCTATGTTTTCTGTCGTCTTTCCTTTTATGCAGATGTCTTTCTGCTTTGCAGCTCATTCCGTTTCTTACCTTCCCACTCAGCGCTTGCAGCCTGAGGTCCCTCGTGTAGCCATGCTGTGGGTCCATCAGGCCCACACTCGTAATCCCTCTGCCTCCCAGTAGACTCCTGATTGCTCCCAACCCGTCTCCCAGCTTTCCCTGCTGGGTCCTATGGGAGGGCATGAGGGTGGGCTCTGTATTCAATGAGCTGAAAGCTCCCAGCCAGCCCTGAGAGACAGGCCTCCATGGCCCAGTGAGTCCTGGTGTTTGTTCTCCAGCTTTCTAACCTTCTGCCAGTCTGATTAGGTGTGAAGTGAGAGCATCTCTTGCACTGTTTTGATTTACAGGATCTCCTCATATGCTTGGTAACCTCTAGGTTTTCTTGGCAGTCAGTCACTTACCGAGCTCTTTCTGTACAATCTGCAGGTGTCTGTCTTTTTCTTGTGGATTCGCTGGCCTGCCGTGGATATTGGTCCCTCATGCCCCGTACTGTCCTCCACACAGTGTGAGGAGTGCTGTTTACCAGCAGACGCCAGAGGCTGGAGGCACTTAGGGTGGTGACAGTCCTGAGCCCTCTCTGAGGTCCCAGCTCCACACCAGGGCTGGGCTGGCTCGGCAGAGGTAAGGGGCTGACTGTCACTGAGGGGTTCACTGCATGCACAGGAGTGTGTTTGGGGGTGCTGTGCCAGCTCCTAAAGGGTTTGGGGGGCTTCTCTGAGATCAGCTCGCTGGCCTGGGATTTGAATTCTGAATTTGGGAAATTCATTCCACATGCGTTCATTCCATGAACACCGAGGGAGCACCTTCAGGGTACA